GTGCACGTATTTATCTAAAATATATACGGCACAGCCGTATTTCATCGCCTTTGTGCTTGCGTAGCATGTAAATCCTTCCAAATGTATCCAATCCTGATTCTCAAGAGGGCATTCTGCAATCGCTATTATTTTCGGTTTCCGTTTTTTTGAGAGTTTCAGTAACTCGGTGACAACGTTCATGGACCCGCCGACGTTGTGATAAATTATATCTGTTGTCGCCATATTTATTTAGGCGTCGGGGAAGGGGCCAGCGCTGCTGGTGCTTTTCCTTTGTCATCAGCCGTGGGGGTTTGCTGTGCCGGGGACTTCGCCCTAGTCCTAGTTGGGCAATGGTTATCTCCGGCGAAATGAGAGGTTTCTTCACAGTTAACACATCTTCTCAGGGTGTGGGAGCACATCTTTCCCTTTCCTGCTGTGTAGTACGTCTGTGCGCAAAGGTGGTTCTTAGTGTGGTGTCTTTCCCAGCAATATTTGCATATTGCTTCCATCCTGCAGTGGACGGCGTGGTGCCCGAACTGCAGGCATCTCGCGAAGCAGGTTGACGAGTCTTTCTTCACGTATTTCCGGAAGGTGCACCTCATGCCAAAGATGGCCATGCTTGGGAGGGGCTTTCTGGTTTCCGCCATGATCCAGTCGTTTGCCTCTACCACCACGATTGCCGAGGACTTGACTTTTCCTTCCGCCTTGAGCGCTGTCGGGGACCTGAGCCATTTAGGTCTGTCTAGCAACCGGACCTGCGGGTTGTATTCGGAGATCTCCTTTGTCAGGTCCTCCCATCTGTCGGAGTCTGCGTCCCATTCTTCAGGTGTCCAGTCTTCGTCACCTAGTGGTATACTATTGATGACGATGTTGATAGACGGCGTGTCTGTGGTGATGTTGAAGCCGAAAACGTCAATCTCGTTCAGGACCTTGGTGATTGCCGATTCATCACTGAGGGCTGGTTCCGCCGGTAGGTCTCCCATAGTGGTAAGTACCAGGTCGTCGTTTCGGTTGAATTCTGCGTATGCGAACTTAACCCTGGATGCCGAGTTGACCGCGTCTCTGATTCTTGCCACTGACAGCCCTGCTGCTCCTATCCAGCGGCCCCTTTCCACCGACCGAATAAGGAGCCTCCTTTGCCTGGCATGCGGGGTTGAGGGTGCCGAGGGCGCTGTCTGTTGGATGCCTGGGGCTGGTTCTTGTCTCTTTTTCTTTGTTGGCACTAGCTGGGAGCCGTCCACATCGATTCTGGATGACGTAATGGCTGTCCATGTCTGTCTGAGTGCTGCTTTCTTTGGGGCGGATTCGTCTGTCTTGGTGCTCGCCCCGGCCTGCAGCGCCGGTACTGGCGTGTCTCCCTTGAGCTTTCCCCGAAGTTGTTTGGAGGGGGGGGATGCTGCGGTGCGGTGTTGCGGTTGGGGCGGTTCTGGTTGGGGGCTAGGGCTTGGGTTCTGGGCTGTATGGGGGCAGCGGATGGGGTAGGGGTAGGGGTGTTGGTGTTGGACTATCTAGTCCTTAGTCTTATTTCCCCGGTAAGCCGTTCTTCCATTGCTTGCATCTGCTCTTTGAATTTCTTTTCCAGCTGATGGATGAAGCCAACCATGATGCCGACGGTGACGGGGCGTTCTAGTTCCTCCCTTTCTTTTGGTGTGAGCTCGACTTCCGTCGATTCATACAAGGAGGAGGAGGTGATGGGGCGGTTTTGGTTTTGCGAGGAGGAGTTCGAGTTGTTTGACACATTGCGTGTTAGGGTCCCCAGGATTTCTCTTGTCGTGGTCAGGGGGGAGGAGAATCGTACTTACCTTGGTGCATTCTGGGGGGCCGAGCTCTCCGGCACTTCACTTGGTTTGTGGGCGTGCTGGCTGTCTCCCAACCCAGTTTGGTCTGTGTTTCTCCCGTTTCCCAGGGACATTGCTACCTCTCGCGTAGCCTGCGTCTCAGTTACTCCGCTGTCTTGGGACTGGTCCATGGGTTCATTCAGTTCGCCCAGCGGTGGGTAGGAGGCTGGGACCTGCGGTATCTGGGATACTGGCACAGGGCTTTGTTGTGACGGGTGGTAGGAGGAGGCTGCCGCCGCCAGGAAGGCTAGGGCGTCGGTGTCAGCTGCATCAACCGCTTTGTTGCCGAAAACTTTCTGGAGCGTGGTTCTGAACCCGGGAAGTTCCGGTTGGGGTGTCGCTATGGTCGGGACTTTCATGTTTCCGGTGA